AATTCAATAGGTATTGTTTTCTGAAAGTTAAGATGTTTGTGAATACATGTCGAAGCTAGTGGGAGCATAAGTGTTATGTTTTATAATAATCATCATGATAGTGGGAGCATAAATGTTATGATTGTATGATTATTAAGGCATGTATTGCAAGTTGGCAATATTAATTATAGAAAAACAAGAGTTATACCTTGCAAAGTTGTAAGGGTTGTAAAGTTGTTTTGCTACAATTAAGGGAGAGAATATTATGCTTCGTTTCAAATCTAAAGGATTAGGTTGAGAAATGTTGATAAATTTAGTCAAAGGTACATAGTGTGTTCTTAAAATTTCGATTATGATTACGGCATTCCTTTTCACAATTCGAATTTTGAGAACATAGCAAATAAAACATTATGCATCGTGTCCCATACGCTTCGGGTAAAGGATCGATTGCAAGTGCTTTAATATTTGACCATTCTAAAATTTTCCAAATGTCTAGCGCATTTAGAAGAAAAAGGGACTAGAATTGGTTTTGACTAAAATAATTAAACAACTATCAAAGGACAATCCAAAGTTCGACGAGGATTGGTTGCTTGTGAGTAGTTGGAAGCATGGTATTGAATGGACCATATCCATATTATTGTGAATAGATAAGATTCTATTAAGAATAAGTTGTCATATGGAAAATATGGAAGCGTGTCCATATTGGGAATTGAATATTGAAAATCTATGTCTAGATTGTGCAAAAGGATGTTCAAAGGAATGTACTTTGAGAGAGAAACATCATATCTAAGGATTTGTCTTGTAACAATCTCCGTTAGAGGACTTTGTAATATCATTGGCAATAGTCTTTGTGACTTTGGTGCAGTGACATTACGAAAGAATCATTGCATAAAATGTTAGACTCTAGCATATTCTATAAGTGGCAAGAATTTGATATTCTTAAACTTATGAAAAATGGATTTGGAGTTGTGAAATGAGAATGATTGGAAATGTGTCCAATGTGATCTATTTCACAAAGTAAGAACCATAGGTAAACATTGTGTGCATGCTAGGAGCATGGGACAAGTGTAATAATTCAAGTAAGAAGTTGATTACCCGAAACGACAAATAATGAGTAATCGATATGGTGATAAATAAAAGGTGTTTTATTTATGCTCAAGGGGTTGAGGCCATATGGGATTAGTATTATTCTTGTGTTTCACTTTGCATGTTTTGACTTCCAGAATAATTGAGTTTATTAAGAATAATCGAATTATTCAAACGGGCCACAGTCGTTCATATGTTGGAAGTAGATATGAATGAAGACTGTCGTGAATTGGTGTGTGGATTGTCTAAAAGAGTATTAGACATAAGCAAATGTTTGCTGCAACATTCATGAGTGCTTATGAATATGAATTTAAGCATTGGAATAAACCCACGCTCACTTGGATCACTCCATGAATTGTATCACGAGTGATTGGTGAGACGATAACATCTTATATTCTTGAAACTGAGATGTGTGAGTTGTATCTTGCTAATCGGTTGCACATTGATAATATGTAAACGCACTAGTAACTTGGTGTTATAAAACATATTGTTGTGTGTGATTTGGTTAGTGAGTGCAAGCAAGCATTGTATCAAAGTTTATCCGTTCCTTTTATTCAAAGTAGGATAAAAGCAATATCTTTGGGCCCCTCGATGGTTTAGTGATGACAAACATAAATGCTCGGCTGGACTAGGGCTAATTTGATTTGTTCAATTAGTCAGTCGTCATAAATCGGAAATCGAGATATAGTACAAAGAGAATGGTTTGAAATCATATCTCATATGATATCTAGAATGGAGGAAAATATGATCCCTTTTCTAAGGACACGCGTATCTGATAGGATCAGAGTTGACAGCGGCTTTGGAAAGCTACGATTGCAGATTAGGATCTGAAGTCATACGCATAATAGTTATTAGACTTATCCAAGTGGGAGACTGTTGGATTAGTGTCTAAGTCCATAACTATTTTGGTATGTACTTGACCCGATGGTGCATGGTCCTTTTGGGTTGCCTTCACCAAAGCAACTTGATTGGAGAAATAAATAAAGAGAGAAAGGTTATTATGATTTATTAATATGTTATAAGAATAATATATTAAAGGAGAAATCATATTTCTTTAATTAATATTGGTCAATAATTAATTAGGAATTAATTTTGTGATCAAGTGTAATTAATTAAACTAGAGGGGCTGATTTGTAATTATGTGATAGTTACAAAATAAGGTAAGGATTATCTTATTATTAGGGTGAACGAATTTAAGGTGATAAGGCCTTAGAATTCGACTATGACAAGGATTCAAGGATTATCTTATGGGTTGCTTTGTGGATAAGCAACTAGATAAGGATAATGACTGAAACCCTATCTCTACACTTTATATAAAGACCCCAAGGCTCATGAATTCGTGTATCCCTTCCCAAGAAGTCCTAAGGACAAATTCTAACCTCTCTCCTCTCTATTTATACCTTCTCCATTTGCTCTTGGTATTTGTAAGCCATTAGAGGAATGACACTTGTGACTCTAAGCATTCCAAAGTCAATACAAGGAATTAGGATTGTTATTACTCTATAACAATCAAGGTATGTTCTTAAACCCATTCATATGTTAATATCGATTTCATATACTAGAATTAGGGTTTATAGTCTTGGATTCAAAGCATGTACAATAGAGAAACCTAGATCCAAGCATTAGGGTTTGTATGAGCACATAGGATGTCTTATGACCAAAACCCATCACATTCCTGAATGGCCTAAGCCGGTAACGGCCATATGTATATATTGTGATAACAAATCGACAATTGGTAGACCTCAAAGTACAATGTACAATGGGAAATCAAGGCACATTGGACGTAGACATAAAATGAGACGACAACTAATCTCTACGGGGGTTATCACGATTAACTGGGTAAAGTCAAAGGATAACTTTGCGGATCCGCTTACAAAAGGCTTGAGTAGAGATGTAGTTTATAAGTCATCAAGAGGAATAGGACTAAAGCCCATGAATGAATAAATTCATACGAAGGAAACCTTACCCAGAAGACTAGAGATCCCAAGATCTAGGTTCAAAAGGATAACCTAATTGTATGAGTGAGGCAGGTCACTATGGAGGGGGAGGGAGGGGGGTTAACACTACTTTCTAGTCCATTCCTATACGTAGTGACAAAATTAGGCTAAACAAATGGTTTTTAATGATTCTTGGAATCACCCATGTGAGAGAGAAGTGGGTTCGTTTCAAAGGGAATTATAGGGGCACAATTCCTAAAGCTCTTGCAGAACCATGTTAGGGTTCATGACCAAAACGAACACGTGTATGAGGATATGGCCTTGTCAGGAAGAGTCTGTTGAGATTTACATTGTCCTCTACATAAATGGCAACTTATTTCAAAGACATCGAGATCTACTAACTACTAGGAGATTAAGTGTAACATCTTAAAAGAGGGTTCAAAGGGTAATACCTACCTATCCTATGCAAAATTCAACTATTGAAAATTTCGTTTGGAAATTGGATTTGCAGAGATCGATCTCCATTCATGAGGGGGATTGTTGGAAAATTTAGTATAAATAGTTATATTTTTACTAACTTTGGACATATGTATAATTATATACATATGTTGTATATATAACTAACTCTAAGTGGGTTTGTGTTCTCCTCCACGAGGACTTCGAAACGATATATTATATGTCCAAAATGGAGTATATGTGAATGAGATATCGATACTCAAAGAAGGGTATTAGAGAATAAATGTAGCAAAAAGGGATGAATGTGGGAATGAGTCCCATATTTGGTAGAAAGACCAAACTCAACAAGGTTTATAAGCTTGAATGCATGTAAGGCTTACAAGCTGGTGTCTATGGTTTTACTACAATTCCTACCCGCGTGCAGGGGGGGGGGGCTGGGGTGCAAATCTTGGATTTCGTAGACCAAAAACACCGAACTTGTGCATAGGCGCGACCCGCAGACACGAATGCAGCTCCGAAAACTCGGGCTCGTGCTACCCTTGTTTTTGCTAAACCTGACAGTTTTGGTCCATATTTTTGAATTCTGTAACAGGTGAATTAATTACGTAATTATTGACATTTATTGGCATTAAATCCTCAATCAATCATTGATTTGTTTCAATTACACGACTCAAGTATAAAAGGAGACCTTTACCATCTCATTCAACACACGAATGAAAATACTTTTCTTTCTCCCCCTTCTCTGTACTCCTGCTTCCGGCGACTCTTTTAGGCAAGTGAAATATCCGGCAGTACACCACTGTTAAGGTTGTTGTACCCTGGGAACAGACGATGAATCTATTTAAGGGAATCGAGTCCAACTCGAGCCTGAGCCACCACGTTTTGCTACTAACCTTTATTTCTAGGAAACTTTCAAGAGGAAAACAAACTCTTTACACTAACATGAAATTTTTAATGTTGAGAATAATGTTGTTAAAAAGATTGGAATTAGGAGTGATGAAATTGTTGTGGTATATGTTGTTAGAATTAGTTTGTGGCACATAAATGATTGATGAATAAGAGTTGTTGAATTAATGATGTTAACATATGCATATATCTAAAATACATATTATTTGGGGTGTTTGGAGTATTTTTGATCAATAAAAATTTGATGCAAACTTTTAGAGTATACAAATGGATGTGTTTATAGTGTGAAAATTTTATCAAAGTGATAGTATTTATAGGTAAAGATAGTTTGTTTTAAATTTTAAAAATTAATAATTTTTTATTGCCAACAGATACATCAAACAATCACATTTTTGTTCCACCAATCAAAATCCATCATCTTCGTCCGTGAAGCGCACCAAGCCACAAGACACCTACGTTCTTATGGGGTGGTGTTTACGTGTAGACAAGATTGTCCATGTAGATGTTCATGCGTAAAAAACTTTCTATACTGGGTTGCCTAATAACAATGAAGTTGAGCACATAGGTCATTCACCTTATGCTCTCATCATTGTGCTCTCTTGCCTCCTATGGTACAATTTTTAGTTCAAAGTCTCATTTATGAAATTTACAAAAGTGTATTCCTGTTTACTTCTAAATAAAGCGACACACACATAAGATGATGTGTACGGTTTGTACATACGGGACCTCGATCATTATTTAAGACAACAATAAAATTGTATATGCTAGCAAAGAGGGTCTTCGATAATTTATATTTTCAAAATAACGAAACGGGCATCCTCCTCATTTTAAGCGGAAAAAAACATCATTAAATCATCTCTATTACAACATTCTTTCGTTTATCCACACTCCCAGGATAAGTCATGTACTTCACCACTATATTAAAACACAATTAGGATTCTTTTTCTTTCTTCAAATATGCCACGAGTAACATGACATTAATCCCCATACCGTTTTTGTTGATCTCAATTCTATTGAGCTGCCTTTCCCTTACTCTTCTCCATGTAGAAGAAACCGGCCAAAGCGACTATGGAAAATGCAGAAAAGCAGACAGATGCAATATCAAGTGACGCATGGCGACCTGTGATTGCTTGTATCTGGAACAAATTCGTCTCTTTTTTATCATTTGTGGTCTGGCCAAAACCTACCTCTTCATCTTGAGCATTGAACGCATAGGCCCTCACAAAATATGTTCCAGTAGGAATATCTCTCTCTACAGTCCATGTAAAGGAGTTGTTTGATGCAGTGTATGGCTTAGCCACAATCTTTACCAGACAAGTCTTGTCCTTTTTCATTTCGTCGACTGTTTTCCTCCATGAACGGTCCTTTTGACTGATGGGTGCATAGCATAGTTTCACTTTTACGGTTTTGTAGGCCGAGTCTGTCCCAGCTTGGAATGTCCGGTTGAATCCCCATGTCACTGTAATATCTGCATCTCCAGCCTTGAGAACTGTAAAACCGAATTCAATGATATTTAATCAACAAATAAATTTATTCGTAAAAATGGTTGGAAGGAATATGAAGGAATCATAATCTGTGTTGTGTTTTTTAAGATTACACTCAGACTTGTGGACAAACCTTGGCCCTCTTTGGGTGAAGCGGTGACTTCAAGAGTCCTCTGAAGAGAAGTGAAGGTAACACCATAGCCAGTAGTTGCAAAGCAAGAGAGAAGGAGAGAAACAACAAGGAAACCAACAGGAGCCTCCATTGATGATGATGTTGTTTGACTTTTGAACCTCGATATGTTTGACGACCTTACTTAATGCAATTCACTTATGTTTGTACTGATGATCAGATGATAAGAAGATGTGCCAAGACTTCTCAATTAAGGTGCTTTATATAGACGGAAAGTTGTCTAGAAATAAACCAATTTTAAATCATGATAAGTAAAATGAAATACCTCTTAATATAATAACAAAGAAAGTCAAATACAAACCACTTGCCTTATAGTATTACATTTATTTTAATATGACAGCCGCATTACTAGGTATTAGTTCGTTCCCAAATTCTCATTTAGAATAACTCCTAACAATGTTCAAGGGATCAGTTTCTTTCGGTTTATGTTGGCTGTTCATTGACAGATGTAGCCAACAGTAACTTATCATGCAATGCAGTGTACTTTTATCCTTAAGACCCTCTCCTAAACGTGATATTCAGAACTTTTTAATCTTCAAAACATAGGTATATCCGTACATAATGTACATTTTTATCCAGGAACTTTGTCTTTACATACTTATCTCTAACTTAAGAAATATATATACCTTACAGTTAAGTAATTATTTTCAAAAGAATTATACCTCACCTGTTACTGAATCAAGGTACCCTACAACATTTTCAAATGTTTGATTATATTATGTGTAATATGGTAAGAGTTGGTAATTTGGAAGTAGATAGTGACGTGTATGCAGTCTTTGGTATTTTTTCGTATGTTTTTATTACTGTTAAGTACATGGATTCCATGCGAATTTTCACAATTAGTAGGTATATGTCGTTACTTCGTGAATTATATATAGTGTAAATGACTCACAGCGTGCACTCTCTATGTTAATTAAATCAAACAATACATTGATCGACACCTCTGAAGAAAAGGCATGTCGCTATATTTGACTTTGGGTTGTAGATATTGGAAAGATTATTTTATAGTCGGTTAATTTATTTTACATGTGAAAAATAGCTCTGATTGCGGCAATGATTATGACAACAGCAATAAACTTATACATGCATGCTAGCAAAAGGGTTTTCAATAATCCATTGTAATATTGTATTATGAAACCTGCATAGTGAACAATCTTGAAATGCTGGTAATTCATACTAAAATCATCACCTATCTGCATACTCATTGTCTTGCCTTAGTATCAAATAAACGATTCTTGATTAGTTAATTTACTCAATTGCTATCTCATTATATAGTATATACAATATATACAATATCTCAAAGATCATATAAGAAGTTGTACTTAGCACGGTTCAAATATTGAACCATGGGGTGCAGGACGCCAACTCTGATACATGTAAGATATACGTGGAGTCCGATATTATCTCTCTAAAAGTGTCATTGTGGAGTGAAGGGAGACTCCATCATATATAGACACATAAGATCATGTTGCAATGAAATATGATACACTAGCAAATGCAACGCAAACCCCAACAAGTATTTTTAATGTTCATCATGTTATCAAGCCATCATTCGTAGGGTTCGATTGTATATCCGACTCACCTCTTAGTCGTTTCTTTGGTTGCCAACTGCATTGCTGCCTCGCAACCCTTTGTTCCTGCTCCGATCATACTGTCTCCATATCGAAGATCAATGTCATTGACTCCTCTTTGGTAAGGTTAAAGTGGTTTGATTTCTACGAGTTCTCTACCTAGGGTATGATTTCTTAGAACAAGTTTTTGTTTTGTTACTCGTAATTTTCATATTTCCTATCAACCCCATGACGAGTGACCTCCTCCAATGTTGTTCCATCTTCAGATCAACTTATCTATAACTTAACCATTGTTTATTTTCAATTTAGTTTCATATAATGATGGATGGTTCAAAGTACCAGCTATAAAGTCGATTCTTTTGGACATGTGTAAAGGTGAAAAGGTAGGGTTGACAATTGAGTGAGTTTTGACCCTGATCCAATCCAAACCTTTAAGAATTATATGGTTTTGGAGCATAGTTTTTGATTCGTTTACCCATTAACGACCTATACCCGCTAACCCTTTTATTAAAAGGGTCCGGTATGGATCAGCACTGATCCGCTCCGATTATAACCCGCCCCATATAATTTTTGAATTATTGGTTTATATTTTATATTGCTTAAAGTTTAATTTTAATTCCAATCGAAAGTCCAAAGGGAAAATGTCAATGTCCAAACTGTTTATACATAAGAATCAACCAATCAACTTCTAGACTACCAATATTCTACTAAAGTTTTATGATGCCATTTCATTTATATTTCATCAAGCAATCATCATATTTCATTCATAAATCAATAAATTCATTCATTGACGGAAAGATAGTTTGTCATTACTATTTGTATCACTACAATTGACAGTAAAAAATAAATCAGAAGTTACTACAATAGTGATTTTTAATTTCAATCGGAAGTCCTCGAGTACATAATGTGTTTTGTAAATCAACATTTGTTTTATTTAAGAAATATTATTTTATGAATTAAGTAATATGTGTTTGATAATTCAAAAGCCTATGGGTTACGGTGCAGGTTTGAATATCTGTTGATTCGGTGGATAAGGGTATAGATTTGATTATTCAAAACCCTGCAGGTTATGGAGCGGGTTTGGATCGGATTTTGAAATTTGTTAAAAGGGTTTGGATCAAGGTCGATTAACTCCAAACCCGCCCCATTTCTAGGTCTATGAAAAGGTATCCGATAATATTAAAGGGAAATCAAAACCGATCGGGGACAATGACGGGGATTAGTAATTCATTGGCGTCCATCTCAAATCTTGGTTCTACAATATACATGTGACCCTAATCTACTTCAAATTATTTCGAGTGCTAGTTGTATACCAAAGAACTTTGGGATAAACTTAATGAATTCCTGTTCAATAACAAGATGTTAAGGATGCTACAATTCTAATATAAGTTCATAAACATCAAAAGGGCACTAATTCAGTCAGCAAAATTTTCTTTGATCTCAAAATAACTTAGACGATTCTTTAACCGATGTAGATTAACCAACAAAAGAAGTTGAATTTTTTTAAAATTCTTCTCTAACTACCTTTCTTGTGATACAATATTGTTGATGTCATAACATTAAACCTTAGCCGTAACCCCACCTTATACTCGAGTTATACCCATTAATCCTACTCCCTTTAACATTGATTAATTAAAAAATAGGTAAAATAAAGTTTGTTACAATTCTAATCGTGATTCCAAAGGTGGGGGAGATCCTCCTCGAGGTTCCACCACATTTACTCTTTAGCAAATCTTTAAATATGAATGAACAAGAATAAGCGGGTGTAACATCTTGATTTTCAACCAAAATTTTCATTTTTATTATTCCAAAATATTAATGTACATCAGAATATTTATTACATTATGCAAAAACATGATTGTGAATGTGCGTATGTACAGTTGAAACTTGTCATTCACGAATTATCTGAAAAAACATTTATAACAACTGCATAAACGTTAGACTTAGTGAGTTTCTCCAATATACCATATACCACAATACACATATATGCATACAAATAATATGCATATCTTAGACTTATGACCTACATGCCATTTTGTCTTCAACACGAGTCTAAGTGTACTTACGGCCTAGATGTCACTTCCTTAACACATGTCAATGAGTACTTACAACCTGCATTCCATTTTGTTAACACGTAGGCCTATATGCCCCCGATTTCCTTGTCATTCAGCCATTATTCCCTAACTAATTTGCAATAACTTATAAGCAAATCAATAATCATGCATATAGATACTACATATGCGGCTTTACAGGCACATAGAAAACTATACTATGGGCTCTACACTATTGGTTCCTATATCCTAACATACACAGATATATACTAGAATACATAATATAGTGAGATGAACTCACATGGACAATTGCTCCGAAGAATAATAGATATCCGGATGATCCCACCGACGAGCAACAAACCTAACGAGTATTAACATATAATACTATAACTTATTAGATCTAATGGAAATTTGGTAACGTTGGCTAGACCTATCACTAATCCCAATGAATACTAACCATTGTATCAAGTAAGGATTAGCCAAGAAGGACAGTTGGGAGGCAGGATCATTACAACATATAACTTTTCTGAAATCCAACAACCAAACTAACGTGACCATTCTAGACACATCTCTCATAATTAGATCTGTAACGTCCGTGTTCCTGGCTAAGCATTAGTGCAGTGATGTAATAGGCAGGTCAACCATTGTAACCTATTTTGAAGTAATAAAGATAAATTATTTGAGTATTATGTGAATTTATGTGCTTTATACTAATTTATAAAGGTATAATAAATAAATGATAAAAATTAGCATCAAAATTAAAGTGTTAGATAAACCCGATATCGATGATGGAAGTTTTAGTGGTCGTGACAAGGATTCTGGACATATAAAGAATGCCGAAATCCGAGTTCTAATGAAAAAGTTATGACCTATCGAAGTTTCGCGACAAAACCGGCACGACACTGTGTGACGTAAATAGTGAATTTATGATGAATGACTTTTTAGCCTTAGTGATCTAAACAAAAGTCGTAGTATACGTTAAACCGAGAGCGTGCATAAAAAGAACGTCCAAATCTGAATTCGTATGAGGAAGTTCCTTAGTCACTTTTAGCCTACTTTGTGGAAAATGTTAAGTATGAAACTTAATTTCAGCAATGCCTACCACCTACAAATGGATGTTCAAATGAAAGTCGTGAATCATTCACTAGGAAACCTTCTTTTTTACAACATTGGTGATCATTTGAAGAGTAGGGATAATGAATTGAGTTAATTCGAGTTTTCTCACAATCACGTTATAAACCATAGCACCAATTTCATCCGCTCTAAGTTGTTTACTCTGCATAATCGTAGGGATCGTTAGATCTCCTTCCTATTCTAACTACTGCTAAGAATGATAAAAAGGTTATTGCTTTTGTTGAATGGCTGCTTGAAACCTATGATGCTATATATGATAACATAACCACCAGCTGCGCCAAGTACAAGATCCATAATAACAAAAGACATAGTCACGTAGAGTTCGAAGTTGGAAATTTCGCCTGGCTATACTTGCTAAAGATCGTTTTCCAATGGAGATTACAAGAAGATTAAAACCAAAAATATCAAACCCATCGAATTGATTAAAAAGAACAATCCTAATGCTTACCGTGTAAAGCTTCCTAGCCAT